TGGGAATATTGCATTCCTTCATGCTGAACCACCAGCTACAGAAGATGCAACAGGAGCACTTGGAGTCCATATCTAGAATAATGTACCACCAGAAAGCTTCAGAGATTTAAGTTTTATTCAATTCAAAACAAACTACACATCATAGAGCCGTCATTCTCACCTTTATTGTGCTATCAATCCCACTGGTTGCAACAACAAAATCAAATGGATGGCATTGTACACAATTTACAACTATAGCAGGAAGAAAAAAAATAGCTTCAGACAACCATACCAGAGGACACTACTAAACCTGAAAACCTTAAGGAAAACAATACTTACCAGATTCATCCCCGTTCAGCATTTTTATGAGTCTACCAGTACGCTTTTCCCAAATAAACCATCTGCCATCATCACTTCCAGTGGCAACATATTCACCTACAAATAAACAAGTGAGACGATCTTGAACAAAATTGCAACTAAGGTGAACTAACAGTCAACTCAAACTCACCACTTATCTTCCAAACATGAAGAACAAAAATCAGGAAATCATTAAGATGCCAAAAAAATACAACATAACTATGTTTTTCCCTGATGGCTACGCATATTAACATCTGAACCATTGCTTTTCATTAGTAAAGAAGACACTGTCATTCATAATAAAAGAAATAACTCAAGTACTTATGCATAAATTAGATTATTTAATAATTACTGTAGTTAGGATATTTAGGGATTCTTCACATTTTTCTTCAAAGTCTCCACTGTGTCACACACGAGACTTTTTTTCCTCTCATCTCAACAATTGATATTCAAATGATATAAGCCAATTGTTTTTGGTATATATATTGTACGTTTCTCCACAGCAAACAAGGCAAGAATACCATGTGAAAAAAATAAAGCAACCAAGAGATTGAAAGTGAGAAAAAACATCTAGCTTTTATTTTATTTGTTTACCAATTCTAATTTATTAAATCACATGAAATAGCATACCTCTTTGACCAAGAAAACTGGCTTGTTTTATGTCAGTGCCAATATTGCAGTGGCCAATAAATCTCTGTTTCATATCAACAGCTGGTTCAGGCTGCACGATTAACGATAGAGCAATAATTATCCACAATGTTTAGTAAGTTATAGAATAAAAGATTCGTTACCAAAGAATGAAAGCACCATATTAAGCAATCAAATGGACTACAAATAAAACCTAAAGAACATGAAAAAAAATATATCTTCTAAAGCACTTCAAATCTGGTGGTTGTTGCACCCTTCCCACATAATATTAATCATTACATTTTAGGTTTATGCATTGGAACCAATAAAGAGGATGAAAGATAAACATCAAATAAGCCATTACAAAAACCCAGGAAATAAATTTAGAAGAGAGCAACATGTTTTGGAAGGATTATATTGATGAAAAAACACCAACAACAATAAAATTTGAAGATAGCAAAAATGCACCTGATAAGATGTTCTACTGCTCTGTGATGATGATGGTGATTCACACAAGCCACTTGCTCCAGAATTGTCTCTGGAGTCACCTCTCCTATGAATTCTAAGATTTAAACTTCCATGAAGAATATTTGATTCAATATCATGTCCCTCGTCACCAGATATTGATGTTTCAAAGTCCAACTCCAATTCCTCATCGTAATCAGAATCATCCCTCTCTGATCTCGGACCATCTTGTGGAGCATCACCGTTGGCCTCATGTCGATATAGTATGTCACTTAATGATAATATTCTTCCACCCCGACTGTCAAACCTTGATGGTCCATCATTGGTCTTACTATTTTTTTCAGCTTCAGCTGTTAAATAAACCAGTTAGATCCACATAAAATCATAAATAAAAAAAATAATAGCACACAATTTCCCAATCATAAAGGGCCATATTTGGAAATCAGATTGATTTTTCTGAAACAAGTTATAGCAGGGAGGACAATACAGTAACTACTAAATACTCTAATATCATTTGTCTACATATGAGGGGGAAAAAAGTAAAACATGTTTCAGTGAGCTCAACGGTGCACAAACTTCTTTACGCGACAAGGGTTGTTCACAAATGACATCAACAACACAAAGTAGAATAATTATTGACAAATTTGCACATACATGCAGCAATTCAATATAGACACCTTTATAACAAAATCCAGCCATGAAAGCCATTTTAGCCCTACCTAAAGCAATATCCTTCTTCACATTTTCCACTCTTTCTGCAAGTTCAGATTTGGAAGGGGCCAACAAATGGGAAGCAACAGCAAAATCCAAAGCATCTTCATGTCTACCCAACTGCAACAAAATAACATTCAGAATAAAGTATAATGGGTTTTAAAACTAAATAGTCAGGTTCTGTTATCAAATGGTATGCTTGAGTTATTGACAAAAACAAATGGCATGAAAATGAAGTCAAACAGACCCATACAAGTCCTGCAAGCCAAAAGTCAACATAAATTCCCAGATACAGATAACTGATTTATCAAAAAATGCCTTAAATCTCAAATTTCTTTTAATTGAAGCTTATGGAAAGATCCTGTACAAGTATTCCCCCTTGCACCCTAAATTGTATCAAGTTGGGCTTAATACCTTTTATTCTTTCAATTAAAAATTTCACATATAAACAGGTTTCAACCAACTCTTTAGTTGCTCGTTTCCCTCTGGGTTTCTACAATCTTCTCTCTTGGAGCTTTAGTTGGCATTTTCTAATCTACAGCAAAAACAATTGTAGGATAGATTGAACTATCATGATTCTCCCCTCCAATCCTGGCTGGCACAGGAATTTTATGGACTTAAGATGCTTCCAACTAGAATAGCCCTCTTTTCATATTTCAATTTATCTCCTTCCCACCCCGACCACCCTAACATGACTTGCATATAGATGCGTATAGAACACAGTTATAAGAATCAATATCAATCACACGTGCTTCTGCATCAATTCTCTCTCCCATTCTCACTACTACAGAACCTCTATGCAACCCAAAATATACAGATATTCTTGTACAAAACATGAAAAAAAAAAAATAGACAAGCTCAAACACTATCAACTCCATCCATGTGTGTACACTTCCCTTTCTTCAATTTATGAAGCTTTTGTTTCTTATGAAAAACAAATAATTATACAACTCTAATAATTTATCCTATTTTTAATAGCAGGCTTAACTAGTCTCAATAACCAGCATGATGCGTTAGTTATTTTTAAGTTAACACATTTTAAAAATGCAGTTCATAAAACAAAATTACCTGCGACAACGCTTCTGACATATGGTAAAGGGCTTTATAGGAGGAATCATCAATTTTCCTGGCAGCATAGCAGTCTCTTATAGCCATATGAGCATCATTTTTCCACTTCCTCTAGATAAGGATGGAAAATTTCAAAACATGTCCCATCAAGAAAAAATGATAAAAATAAATAAACAAACAAAAGGAAAACAAAATTCTAAGACCCCGTTTAGTAGTAATAACAACCTTGATCAGTAGTGCAGCACGAGTACACAAGCATTCATGTTTCAGTGCAGGTCCAATAATATGGCTATAGCCATTCAAAACCTCATTACATGCCTCAATTCCATAATAGGGTGTCCCAGAGTCCAATGATTTCTTAGCATATTTTATTAGTTTCCTGCACTTGTCAAACTGTAAAACACAATTAGTCAACAAAATATTATGCAAAACTAAAGTGACATGTCTTAGTTGCATTACACGCATGTCTACAGAAAAAATAATGCATAGACATAACCCCCCTCCCAAAAAAAACCGCATACCATTGCAGCAATGTTCTTTTTTATAGGAAATCCATTTGGGAAAACATTAGACACACAAGGCTGCAACTCAGTCCCATTAATAGTCGGAGAGTAAGTCATCAGCTTTGATATGTCTCCTGAAGTATATTGCATTTCATTCACTCCAGCTGCATTAAGAAAAAATTAAGTACAATCTCAACAACTTTTACATTCTTCATAAACACTTTAACCAGAAATAACAGAATGAAAGTAACTGCAGTTACACAGTTATAAATACATTTTGGGGAACATTCAAACCCACATCATACTAAAAACCTAGAAAATAACTTAAGACAGATCATGGAAGAAAACCTGTCAGCAAATAAAATAAATACTGCTTTAACATGCACACACAGCATCAAATGGCCTTTTCAAAACCCAGTTCAAAACACAAGGGAGAAAAATGGAAGGAAATTCAATATTCAATCTTTATTTCATTATTTAGAGTTTCAATATCTTCTAACCAACATTTCATAAAGCAACACACAACACATCCCTTCTGAAGTCTCTGACAATGTGACTTAAAAGATGACACTGTGCAAATAGAATGTATTACCCTTCCCATCGTTAATAAATTAAAATGTTGGGTCATGGGTGATTAAAGAACTCCTATAACTCACCCAATGCTCCCAAATAATTTGAACAAATAAAAGTACATTATTTTATACTATTAGTGAAAATTTTGGCCATTCATCAATTTGAATAAGCAAAAAAATCACATCATATTATGTGACTAGTGACAAATAAATAAACAAGAAACAAGCTTCCATATGATACACTTTACCATAATTTACATTCATCAAGTAAACATGCTCTCCACTATAGCTGAGGAGAACCTCATGTCCATCAGGACTGAATGTAACATGAGTCAAGTGCAAACTTGGATGTCCCTGAAAAAAAAAAGGATACAATTTGAGAGCAACAACACTTGGCTTGAAGTATCAGAAAGACTTATACTTCCATAACACAGTACACACCATATACCAACGAGGAAAATGGGTGAGCAAATCTGATAATTTACCTAGAGCATGTGGGGCATTAGGTATGTAGATTGTAGAATGAAACATTCACATTATAAACTACTTGATTTTGGTTTAGGCATTCTACAGATAGGAATTACTAAATGATATTTCTGACCCCAGCAGCATTGTTTAATAAGTGTAGACTCCTATGTATCTTGAGTTATTTTCCCAAAACCACTTGTATAAAATTAACAACATAGCCAATATAATAAGCTGCTACCACCAAAGATGTCATTTCCTCCATTAGACATGATTATTTCCATGATTGCCACCATCTCCCCTGAGACCTAAAAATACCCAACCCAACAATGGACGTTGGTGTGTCAACAGAAGAAAAAAAGAGAGAGATGGAGAATATACTGTTATTCTGATTAATGATGAGGATACCCAATAGGTAAGTAGATGGAATTCAACACAGTAGCACTGCCAGTTGCCCCTCTAGACTGGAATAGAATTCCCAATTCAGTGGGAATATTGCATTCCTTCAACACACTCATACAAAACAACTAAAACAAGGCTATCTCACATTTAAACCTATATCATTGAAAGTAAACTTGCAATATTTGGCATACCAACCAGGCACCCACCATCACATAGCTTATCAACAACATTATTTATACATATAAATATAATAGCATGCACAGATACCCAACATTTCAGACATGTATCATACTACAATTCATAGATGGAAAGAAACATAATTTTTTATGATTGTTTCCCTTTTTAGCACAGGTGAGAGACTTACAGAGAATATAAGATTCCCATCCCCATCCCCATCCCCATCCATTAGGATCAGACTCCCAAAAGAAAAGGTGGGGAATATAAGTTAACAAGATATGAAATTTTCTTTTTACATAAAAGAACATCTTTATCAGAGATGATAGAGAAAGATAAACAAGAGAAAATGACAATATACCCCCTCCCCCTCCCAAAAGAAATCAAATTATATAAAATGCAGAAGAAAAAAAAAATAAAAATAAAAATAAAAAAAAGTTCTGGAATAAGCAAAGCTTGCCAACAAATCCATTTTTCCTTTGTCGTTTTTCTTCTTTCTTTCAGTTGTCTCATCCTACTACATTACATCCCTTCTCTTAAAGAATTCCTCTTTTAACCCCCAAAAAAACACTTGTAACATTCTCAAAACTTGACAGATTAAACAAATGACTGCAACATAAACACTTCAAAATAATCATAGATCAGTAAAGCAAAGGACGCACACGATCAGAAAGATGCATTGGACAGAAATAATTAACACAAGGAGGTGGAGACATTCTTTTCCGGCATGAGCTAAGAGGCGGCAGCATCCTTCTATCATATAAGCGTGCAAAGGCATCACTGCAAGATATGGGAAATCTAGTATCAGTCTGAAATAAAAAGAGGAGTTACTTAACATAGTTATTAGTTAATCACCGGGATTATTTACCTCCCACCAACAAGGAGCAAATGTGGTCTAGTTGAACTGATATCACAAGATTTTAAAGCAAGGACTTGTTTAGGAGGATCAGCAAGTGACCTTTTAGCTCCACATCTTAAGTCAAGCTGACATTAAGCATTAAACATGAAAATCAATTAATGAGAAGAAAAAAAAGGATTCCCAGCTTTAGAAAACAATCATCATAGTTAACAGCTTCCTGACAGTACAAAATTCAAAAAACTACATTGCAGAAAGACTGTTGACACCCTAACTATTTTCCATTTTCCAGCATAGAATTGTCTGTCATTGATGCTTTCCATTGATATGCCTTAGTCATGTAGTAGGTTTCCCATGTGAAGTTGTAGTTTAGGATGTAAATGAGCTATCATAATTAATAACCCATGATCATTCAAAAAAACAGGAGAAAATGTCAGAAGAGCATGTTTACCACTGCCACATCAAAAATCAAATTAAAAGTTTGATCCCCCCACACACTCTTCATCCATTAGCAACTTCCAATTTAGGGTAAAGAACCAAGAAATGCATAATAAATATAAATGAAAACATTTTCTTTTATAAAAAATGGGATAGCATACAAAATTTTATCACATGATTACATCCAACAATATCTTATAGCAGGTGCCAGTACACTCCTCCAAAAGTCCAACCTACCATACTGAACTATGGAGAAAAGATTGTAATTGACATATGCCAAATAACAATCTATTGATGCAAGTTTTATTTTAATGGAATAGATGGAATAGAAATACAGAACCAACTTATTGATCACATCAATCTAGGTGCTGGGTGCTGCTGCAGATGGTCTATAATATAGCAGACAAATTAATCAAAGTAAACCAATTGGTAAATTTCAAATATCACAGATAACAGAGGAAAACCAGTTTTCTGATATCAGTTATATGCATACAAGAACTGGAAATTTTCAATTTTCAATTCAACTCCATATGTTCATGCCTGACAAGGTTCAATTGCATTCAAAACCAATAACAGGAATGACTGATTGAATTAAACTACTTACAAGAATATTTCGACACTCTTGGTGCGAAGATCCAGCTGGAGGACAAGAGGTACCTTCTCGAAAATCATGTTGTCTAACGGTCCCATCTTCACTGGCACTCCATACTACATTGGGGTTTCCATTTTCAACCTGCCAAAAAGGAACAGGGAACAAATGATAACTAACAGATTATATTAGACATTCCCACATATATCTTGTTTTATTTCCTTTAGCCACATATATGTTGTTAAAACTATGCTAAATTAGTATATTCTTTAGACCAAATAACTTACAGCCAATTTCTTGACTCTTCGAGTGTGGCATTGGTAAAGTGCAGCTGGAGCAATGATGGCATTGTCACCCCCACTTAAGCGAGATAAATTAAATAACCGGACCTGCCAAATGAAAAATAAATGAAATTAGAGGATTAAAACCACATTACCCACAAAATATATTGAGAGGATCATCGTATTACTTCAGCATCTCCAGCTCCAGAAGCTACAAGCTCATTGGAAGTTTCTGGTATAAACTTGGTACAAAATATATTTGCAGTATGTCCTGTGTCAATTGAATGTAAAAGTTTTCGGCCAGAATAGCTCCAAATATTGATCTGCAAAATTTCAGGAAAACAATTCAATGCCTTCTGCTGGTAGAACAGACCAAGACACGTTATAAACCAAAAACAGAAAGGCTGGAATCATTTGCTCCTTGACTCTATCAGTATCTATGCGACCTATTGAGAGTTAGGACTGAACTTGTCAAACTAGTCATGACTCATTTATAAATTATATCTGACAATACATGACCTAAAACAACCAAAGAATTATTCCCATTAGTCTTCTTGATCATTCTCTGTACTTGGTTTGAAAAAAAAAATATCACAGCTGTGCAAGAACAAGAAACAAGCACAATATGTATAAGATATGTAAAAGTCTCTTGTAGAATGCAAAAGGGAAATCATGGACAAAGAAACTCCATTTTAATAATAGCAAGAAGAGAGGGGATTTTTACAACAGAAAACTCTATGAAAAACTATATTCAACAGTTTCTCTTTCAACATTTCCAAAAAAGAATCTCCCATTTTTCAACATCATTTTTCTTGGTGTTACATCTTAGCTACAATCAAGTATACAAGACAACAGTACATGTTACATAAAATAAAATACATGCCATACCCGTGTATCATCTGATCCAGATATCAACAACGAACCATTGGAATTCCAAGCCACCGCATTGACACAGCCATGGTGGCCCTATTCAAATCACGAGCAAAAAGGATACGCAGCAAAAGTAAACAAACAAAATGAGAATGTATAGATTCGTTTTTGGGCAATGGGAGAGGGGATGCACAGAAATGAAGCAAAACAGCTGTAAAAACTTGAAGAGAAAGTTCATCGAAATCTATGGGTAGTGCCAGCATTTATAAGAAAGTCGTGACTACTGCATGCCTTTTTCAAGAAGATAAGTCTAATAATATAATATACAAAGAATGTCAGCGTAGTCAGAACACAGAACCACTGTATCAGAATGCCATTACCTTCTCTGATCACTCAAGGCACTTGAAAAAAATATTTATATATTCCTTCAATTATTCAATCTTCTATCAAAATCCTTAATAGCAAATACTAAAACCACCTAAATCAATATGCACGTTACGATAATACAATAGAATCAACACGGAGATAAAAACATTGCACTCCCGCATTTCTCAATTTCAAGTTCCTACTAAAACACACAGATACATGTATATGACGAACAACATTTAGGAAGCATATTCACACAGATGCTATTCCTATTTCCTATTCCTACTAACATTACGACAGTACCATCATGTAGCAGTAAATTGAGATAAGCTACCAACCTCTAACTCCCTCTCCAGAGAAAGCCTCCGAATCAACGAGGAATGAGCCTGCAAACTGTGATTAACCTCCTGAAGAAAACAAGCGGAACAAATTCATGATCAAAATCGTAAGACAAACCATAAAACCATCGAGGAAAATCAGAAGACGTCTTTTATCGAATCATCGTGCACGAAATTGATAATCGGAAATATTAATTGCTCAAAAAATAGGGAAAAAGAATACGAGGGGAGAGTGGAGGTATCGGGAGTCGAGAATGGAGTGTATGTTGCCATCGCGAAAAGGAACGGAGTCCATCGCGGAGAACGGTGTGGCTGTGCTGAAAAAAAAGTTGAAGTAGGCAATTACTCCATCATCACCACCGTCGCGTGAATGTCTGAGGCGGTTACACTCACAATCCTTCCATACTCTTCTCGCTTTCTTTTTTATATAAATATATATATTTTATCACTCTCTTAAATCAAAGGAAGAAAGTGGCACACTGTAGCGGAAATAAATATTTTTAATAATTATAATTATAAATTATAAATTATAAATAGATTGAGAATGAGGTTTGTTCGGGTAAATGAAGTAGTGCAGGAGTGTGGTGTTGCGTGATATGTAAGCGCCCTACATCGTTGTACTGGCGGTGGACGATTGGCTTTGCTTCGCTTCCATTATCCTTTGATTTGTTTTTGTGGGACGTACCGTGCACCTCCCGCACTTTGTATTTCCGAATTTCCTTTTACATATTTTTATTTTTTAATACACTTTCCACTTTCCGGTATTTACTTTTGTAAATTTTTAATACAGGATCGATCTATCGGAATTGCAAATCTACAATTTCTATTTTCTTTAATCAAAATCGCATATATCATAAAAAGAAAAAAATAATAACGAAAACTAGAGTGTCTTTTTTTTTTTTCAAATTATCATCCATCAGGTTGAAAAATCAAAATTCCCAATTTTCTTACTTGTGAACTATTAAGTCATGTTGAGTTTTAAGAAAATAGATACAAAAAATGAGGAAAATAATTAAAAGAAAAAAGCTGAGTGCTCTAAACTTTTACGAGGCCCAAGCCCAATATCAAGACTGAATTTGGGTAAAGGGAACCGCAACGCTCCCTCATCTCTACGATCCTTGCACTACATCTTTCCACTCTTGGGACATGGGCCAGTGGCCCAGTGCAGTACCAGGCAACCCACTAAGGTTAAAACACCACGTTCCTTCTTGACTCATAGCTCATAGAATAAACATCAAGTACATCGACATGTACTTCCTCAATCGACAATCATACATGTCACTTTAAAACCTTCAGCCTTCAGGTTTCCACTTGTAATTTTCTGCAATCTTGTCTTGATTTGACATGAAAATATATCCATATGCATGTTAAAGATAGGATCAACCTAATATATTTTTAGGTCTGAAACGAATAAAGGTAATCATTTAATATTTATTGAGACATTATTGGTTTTAAATAAGATTTTGTTCAAGAATGTGAGCTAAAATTAGTGAGATTTGATATATTAAGAGACAATGTGTATAATTGAAACTAGTGACTAATTAATTTTAAAAATTTAGTGATAATCGATAAATTAAGAGATGTTTTATTTAATTAAAACTAATGACTACGTGATTTTTAATGAGAGAAAGTTAGAAAAAATTAGAAGTCTTACAAAGAATAAAAGTATTTTCTCTTCCAACAAACCTTATTTTTCACTAAAGAAAAAAATACTCCAATTACCACTAGACCAACTAACAATAAAAGTAATACCAATACTAATTAATAGTAAATTATATTTTTAGGGGGCCTATAATAAGGACTTGTCCAACCTCATCTTGCTTGATCCAAGTTAATGACGCAGTCCAAAAGACATATAAGTCATAAATTTTAAATTTTTTAGAAAAAATATTCTTACTAAATAGCAAAATCTCTCTTTTCCTCTCTCTCTCTTTTCCCCTTCTAGCTCTTAGTATTTGAAATCCATGTTAGACTCGTTCTACTTTAAATTAAGTCAAGGCAGAATGCATTTCAAAATTCCCAAAACACTTTATCTTTATTTACAGAACTCAATCTTGACTTTATTAAGAAAAATCAAATTTCTGATCACTTCAACCATCACGTGTTCTTATTAAAGCTTATATACAAGATATTTTTATTGCATTTAAAATATATTTATGTAATGCATGTCGTACTTGTCAGTATGTAACTAAATGAAAAACTAAATAATCAGTTTATGACTTGAGGCTAAGAGAAATATCCGGAAAAATATTCTACAATAAACCTTTTTGAATTATATGCTGCATTCTTGCACCTTGAATGAGTACCATTGAATTTGAACAAAACAAAAAAGTACTAAGCAATGATTTTATGCTGATCCAGCGATAATATATTCAAGGTGCATGGATGCACTCAAACTTAAGAGTGCACAAATAGAATTTCTCTCAAAGAAAAGCCAAAAAAGTATGGAACTTAGTAGCTGTCTTACATGCACCTTGCAGTTGAAAGTGCATTCATATGCTCCAATTGATATTTATATATATATATATATATATATATACAAACTTCACATAAAAATAAACCTATGGTTAGAGTCTTATAGAGTCAGTGGCACGCCCACGCACCAAACTAAATGGATTTGTTCATGTTAGAATCCGTGAGGGAACCTACTGAATCAAGCAGTGCAGGAATAACTTTCTTTCAAACCATTTCAACCGGTGTCAAAGTCAATTGAATTTCGTAAAAAATAAATGCCAATAAAGAGAGATATAGAATAGCAGAATATAATGTGTGACAAGTGATGACCACTTGACTATTGTCTCCTTATGCACTCCCTTTCGTTAACTTTTTAGTGTTTTATTCGATTCCTTTACCACTAAACTATCTAATGGAGACGTTACATATAATGTGAAGCACGCCTTCTCTGAAATGTGATGGTTCAAAGTATTCAGACCAACCATATCTTTAGCAAAAGTAACTTGTTGTTCTGTCCTCCAAGGGAAAGGCATGCGTTTTTCATACCTCCCATTTCGTATCACTGTCCATTTGAGGAATATATGCCTACCCATCCATGAAGCCCCACTCTTGAACCTTTTCAGAATATTCTTGTTACATGATACCACAGTCCTCATTTTTCTTCAACTACACGCACCACACCACTGGTTAAGAGAAAATTAAACTACTCCATAATCAAGTACTACTCGAGTAAATTAAATTAGTGTGTTTGGATCATCAATATTTTAAACTCAAGTAAATGTCAATCCCATTATTATAATTGTGTAGATACATCCTGCAAATAATTATAACAATAATAACAATAAGACTAACAAATTCGAATTTCTAGTACACATGTGTGAGCTTATAAATTAGTTGTTGACCAAAGATACGGGCATCCCAAAAAAAAAATGTATTGAAAAAAGAAACAGAGAATGGAACCTCTGTCATCCACCGAAAAAGAGAAAAGAAAGGAAAACACGTACTTCATGTTGCTCCAAGCAATGGTAGGCTTCCAATGCGGTATAGAAGATCAATAAAATGAAGTTGAATAAAACACTGTACAAGATTCTTTTCTTTGTTTGATATCTAGCCATGACTCATGACTATTCACCACAACCGTGCCCGTGCCTCACTCTCTCTCTCTCACGCACACATAAATGCACCCTTCTCCCTAATAATTCAACGCTGTGGTCCCCTACCCCTTTATCACCCGGACATAACTTCTCATCAACATACGAATCATCCAAATGAGAATAATAATTACAATAGCAGTAGTAATATTTTATTGTTCTTCCTAACAAGGATGTAAAATACACAATTTCTCCTTAATTTTCACTTTTGAATGCATTTTCACCATAATTTGTAATGAAAACATGTTACAAATTTCTTATTTGCTTGGCAAGACCAAATATTTAAAAAGACATCACTTTCACATATCATAAATGCGTGCATGCGATGTAAATACACAAGCAAAAAGACAACAGTAACACCATCCATATTAAATAGCATCCAACCATAGAGACATCATACCATCCTCTTTAAGTAGTCCATACACCAATTACGACACACAACACAAACCCATAAATGTAGTAAGTAGGGAACAACTCGAATACAAATATCTGTTTCCCACATGCAAGCTACAAAGTTACCTCGAACTCTCACAGATAGTGAAAATTATCTTCATCTGATCCTAACCCACAAAGGATTTAAACATGACAAGGATACGAAAAACAGGAAACAAGTTTGGTCCCATATCAGCGTGCACTTAGTTTTTGGATCCTTATGTGGAATAACCAACCAGCCTTCTCATTCAAAATGGTTCACTTATGCTCCGGTGTGAGTGCTACTTTCTCTTGGTCTAAGACACGGACTAAAGATTCATAGTTCCTTTATTGCGCTTGATACAATGAACACTTCCATCTTTCGTTACACAATTCTTAACATAGATTTCATTACAATGCTTAACATAGATTCAATTCACTGACTATAACAGCTGATCTCCGAGCTCCAACTAAGAAAGAGCTTCAGAAGACTATACTCGGTTTTTCACAAGTAACACGTACGTTGCTGAGCACAAGCTCCTTAACAACCATTACCTTGTTTATTCTGCAGACTCCATGAAGTATGATGAACAACCAGCAAAGCAACAGACCAGAACTTACATTATAAATACTACTTACGTGACTAACAATGACATGTCAGGTAAGAATTCTCCAACTTACAAGGCATCAAGTCCGAGCGCTTGAGCCTTGTGTTTTAAGGATTTCAAGCAATGTATGGCATCGTCGAGAAGCATGACTGGGTCCTTATCCTTCCGGCCAGGAATTATGCTCTGGAGAATGCTCAGAACATCTCGTATCTTCTCCTTTTTCATCCTCTTACTGCCGGACAAGGATCCCTCATTGTTGTTACTAGAACATCTTGATTCTGCATCATCTCCTGTGGCAAAAGATTTGTTCAGATTCTGAGAACTGGCTGTATCGATGAGTTGGATGTCATCATAATAACCATCCAATAGCTTCCTCTTCTTGGTTTTACTGGAAGAGCTCGCAACTTCTTCTACACTTGCCCTAAAGGTTTGATGGTTATCATGAGTGGTCATTGTACTTGGAGAATGCCCCGTGCTAGTAACTTCATCATCATCATCACCATCCTGGGTAGAATAGTCATCACTGTCCGAGTAAAGCAATGCATTAATTTCTTCTGTGTCTTCATGCATCTCACTTTCAATGCTGGTTCCCGGATTCTCATCGACTGTATTGGCCAATGTTGGCCGAGTCAAATGATTCAAATTCAGATTCAAATCTCTTCTTAAAGGTTCATTCCCCCTTAAATAGTTAGCACCATGCAATTTTGAATGCCAAGAAGCACGGCATTCACTGGGACTCCCAAACCTAGAACTATAAACAATAGTCGTTTGACCACCCGTTTGGTCAATAACAAGAAATTGTTTCTGAGGGGTGCTAGGTTCACCATGGGGAGCAATTCTGTCACCAAAACCTTTCACATGATCAGCAAGGGGTTTACCCTCAGCTGTGAAGTTTGGAGCAGGAGTAAATCCCTGTCGAAAGCGTGGCAAACAATAAAACCAACCACCAGGTTCATCAGAATGTCCTAACTGCAAATGTGGCAGTGAAGAGGACGCAAAAGCTGGCATTGTCTCATTGCTAGAGATCATATTATAGCCAGGGTTCATAGCTGCAGAACTACCATCTTGCTTCCCCACATCAAGGGGTTTCAGATTTGGTGATTGCCATCCAAATTGTAGATGCGGCACCCAGGTTCCACAATCTTTTCCCATTCAATCAGAACAATCACCTAAAATTTACAGAACCATGTACCACAAAATCAATAATTGAACAACATCAAAAGGCATTTATTCCAAAATGAATGAATAATAATAACAATGATGTAAACTATACCTGAAGAAAAATGATTACAACTCAAGAGCTATTTGTAACAAAAGGCTTCTTTCACGAACAAGGAAAACAACTAAAAGCACCGGCTTAACCCACCCAAACGGAGCAAGGCAAAACAATTACGTGACAGGTTTGAGCAAATGACGGAAATATTCAGCCTGAAAAATAGCCAACACAAAAAATTAACACGTATTGATATGTTACTTTGCAGATCACGACATGTGCACAATATTAAAAAAAAAATGTTAGACAATTATTCAAAGGTGGATCACATACCTGGCATTCTCTGAGAGGTTGAAAGCATGCTATAACTCTAACTATAATGGTGGAGCTCCCGGCAATTCCATTTTCATGTTTCAATGCCCGAAATCTCGTTTGACTCGCTGCTTGGCACACCATAACTACTTCCCAACCCTCTCCAATTCAAAATGCAAGAACCACACCTTTTTTTTTTCTGAGGACAACTAATATTTTCACCTCCACGCCAGTGCAACAGTTTTTGACTTAACAATTAAACTATGCCCAAATAACTAAACGACAAACTCCTATAACTAAACACTCTTCAGAAAAAGGAAAAGGCTAATTAACGGTTTTTTAGATGAATTTGTGTTTGGAAGAGTTTGCTATGCTACCGTTCAGCTGATCTGACGGACGTAGCAAGGAAGAACAACAAAGAAATTGGATCCCATGGAAACGGCTAAAAGAGAAGATGAGTAGGGTTTAGATCACAACAAACAAATTACAGAATCACTTTGCAATACAGATTCAACGAAATCCCTTTGCGAAATACATCAACAGAAAGACTAAGCCACCACCGCATGCTGTTGTGTCCTTACCCACAAAAATAAATAAAATAAAATAAAATAAAAAAGGAACCCTTTCTCCTTCACCCAAACCTACTCTCCAACCTGAAACATAATTTCCACATCAGAAACCACCCACCAATTTCCCATCAACAAAATCGAAACAAAACAAGAAAAAAATTAAAACTTTTCACAAATCCTCGACCTTAGGGAAGTGGGACTCAGGTCGATCCACGCAATTAATAAGTTTGTTCCCAATTTAGAATTAAAGTTTCTTTCTTTAAAAAGAAAAGGTTGAAATTCCAGGACAAGGAGCTTTAAAAGGAAAATTAGCCCAAAAATTATTGAATTGGCCTGGAAAACAAAAGCACGTGATATTATGCATAAAACGAAAACTTACTTAGAATATAGAGAGATAGAAGAGACGGAAACTGAAGATGAATCGGAGAAGTGAAAAGGGTGAGGAAGAAGCGTGAATGGGTACAGTCAAAGTGGAAAGTGGATGTGGAAACTCCAACCCACAAGACAGCACGGGAGTTGAATTATATAGAGCATGCATTGACATATATGCCCTTGATTCAAGTGCATCAAATAATTAATTATTAAATTAATATTTAATGATAATAAGAAGAAAAAGAATTGATTCATATTCATACGTGCGCAAGGAGTGAGTAGTGCACGCAAGTATTAAGTTTACAAAGATGGATCACATTCACATTCACAGTAGCTTCAATTCAAGCGTTGTGATATCATGACGTGACCTCGTGAATTGTTTTTTGGTTTTGTATGGGGTCAACTAACCCATGTGTGTTGTTGCTCACCACACCCCTCGGTTCGAACCAAACCACCCCCCTTGTCTCCACCAACCAATGCACATACTCGTATCATGTGCTGCTTGCATCCCATTTTTCTAAACAATTTCAACAAGATTGTTTCTTATAAGATACAAGCGTAGTCACAAATATAAAAAAATTCTTGATGTTACTTTAATGTAACCAGGTTGCGTATAGATGATCGATTGGTGAGTAGGGCTTTTTTTTGCATATATTTATGTATTTGATATAGTTGTATACATATTTGTACAAGATATGTATACAGTCATAAAGATTTTAATTTTAGTTATTTATTTTCTATCCTATATTGGGATAACTTTTGTGATTGCTTATATAACTGATACATGATAATCATGAGCAAATTGTTTATTCCGTAGTAATTAAATTGTAATAAGTATAATGAAATGTCATATCATTACAATAATAAAATACACAAAAGTTAGGAATTAGAAAAATAAAATATAATGCAATAAATTCTTCGTCACGCATAGTAATAGACTAAATAAGAAGAAAACAAAAAAAAAACATTAATTTAATGTTATTTATCTTAACATATCTATATTATAAATATAAAAATAAATTAACTATGAACATAAATTTGCAATAATCTAATATGAACATCAATTTACAATAATCCAATAATGTGATGTAACTTGGTTAAGGACAACATTTAACAAGAAAGACTAATTATCTATTTAGTGAAGACTAAAATTAGGTAGAAAATTTGTAGAAACTGAATCATATTTATTCCATTAAATCATAATATATAGAAAGAACAAGAAAGAATAACTTCAACTCTTGCAGAGTTATGTTAATATAATTTAGTCCCTCCTTATTTTTATACTTAAAAATATTTATTTGTTATAAATTTTAATTTTAGAAGATAAATCTTTGTTTTCATAAATTTTATATACAAAAATACTAATTATCTTAATATTAGACCCACTCAATTGCAAGTGACTGAGTCATTGAAGATCGAAACTTATACTCACACTGTTATGGTGCACCCATGGCACAATATTATTTATTTTTCTCATATCAACTCACCAATCGATATGTTGCATTCTCTCCACTCCCACACCATATTCCTTATTTTTCTCATGTCAACCCACTGGTTCAAAACCCCTTTACTGTCATTATCGATCGCTGTCACAAAGTCCACCAAATTTCCTGCTGCCATAGGTCCCATCTACCAGATTCGTTATGAAAAACATTGTGAGCAATAGCTGGTGAGAACCTTCATGCGTTTCATGCAAACACGTGAACTCATCATCCTCCATTGCATAGTCTTGTCATGAAAGACCCATCCACCCACTACCGTTTTAAGAAGCACCACCCCTTAGAGACTATGAAAGGTATCGGATGACAATATGGAAGAGGTGAAGGACGAAGATCTGGAGGTGTGGGTCACCTCGAACTAGCTAGGGGTTAATTTTGACAGGCATAATCAATGCTAGATCACAAAGTTTTGGATGGACCTTATCGAAACAGTAACAATGATTCAACTGTCGATCAAGAGAAGGAGTTCAAGGTGACAACATGGTGGTTGATAGTGCTCTGACAATAGTGTACCATCGTCGATGGAAAAAAACACTCAAAAGGTAATAATATGGTGTGGAAGATAAATTATAAGCATGTGAACCTTTTATAAGCCAATGTGGATAATACACTTCCTTACAATTCGTCTTATGTTTCCAGATTGTCTCATAATCCTACGAAATCCTAAACCAATACACCCCCCTAATTCAACATTACATCTTTTAAAATTATTCATAGAAGGAATATACCATATCATGCTTTGGTATTTCCACAGACTCTGCATGTTGATCTCGAAAAAATTAAAGACTCTGGCTTAAAATATATAAGATGCAGATAATTTATTATCATTGTTAATGGCTAGTTTTATTCAATCGTGGCCATTCTGCGCATTGGACTAACTAAAAGAGCGCATGTATTGACTTAGTCTTTCTTGCTTCGTAACTTACATTTTCATTTGACTTTTACCGATGTAGAGTTGATGTCGAATATCAGGACCCTTCAATTTCGAGTTTTTAATGAACCCAACAATTGATTCAATCATCCAAGGCAACACACATATCAGTAATCACCCTCTTGCAATTTTAGAGTAGTGAAATCTTCCTAGTACAAAATGTAACGCACACTTTGTCCATAGATTGAAGACCAAAAGCAAGAGTATGAATAACAGAGTGCATATAAAATGGAAGGAAAAAAAGAGTAGAGAGATGATTTTTGTAAGAGCTAGCATGGAAGGAGAGGGAAGTGAATGAGGCGATAATTGGACCAAAAGATAGAAAAAGAAGAGAGGGTATCCGATGTTTAACATAAACAAACAATAATTTTGAGCTTGACCATTCAAAATTGGAATTATGGAAATTTAAATATAAGGGACCCACCTTTGAAGAAACGGTATACCATGCCTCACAATCCACTCCACCTGACCAGGCTATATCTCTCGTTATAAACCATGAATGCCTAACTTTAGGATTTCGAGTAAAAAGCACATTAGCAATTGGTCCTGCCACAGAGTACAGTTATACTTTTCATCGATGTGATACATGGATTTGTGTCTCAGCCAACAAAATGGTCGTCAATTTAATTGGTCCATTCCATGATCTGCAACACATGGATTTTGGTTAATTACCATCAAATATGTTCCTTAATACTATTATATAATTGAGTAAACCATTAGTCTATATAAATTATCGCTCTCTTTTCTAAATACTCCTTAAGTTATATATTAAAATTATATAAATAGTCATTAAAATATTACAAATTATGTTATATAATTCTTTAACTATAAAAAAAATTTCTTCATATTAGTCTCAATAAAATGTATTAGCCAAGGAACTAAATCGGTTGATATTTAATACTTTATAGACCAATTATCTAATAAAATTAATTTAAAAACTTTTAGAAATCAATTATCTAATCTTATTAGTTTGAGGACTATTTAGAATAGTGGATAATATTTTTAAAAACTAAATTAGTGGTTTATTCTAATATAATTTCACTTCCTCTTTTTTTTTTATAGAGAATAAAAATAACCAAACTTATCTTTTGTTGAATATAGAGGAAAGAAATAGAGAAAAAAATTGTGAAAAGAAAGTGCGAAAAGTGTTAGAAAATAGATAAAAATAAAATAAAGAATGAATAATGTTGTTCAGTAAAAGAGAATATAATATATATATATATAATAGAAGTTAATTTTTATAAATAAATTCATTTAAAAATAATTGATAAAATTTATTAGGATTAAATATATTTTTACCTAATAATTAAATTGATTAAATTTATATTTTTATAAAAATTTATTAAAAATATTATTTTACTAATTTGATACTGTTAACACATTCTTTGTTATATATACTAGTATTTTAACTTGTGAAATGTATAATTACATTTATTGTATAGAATTAAATTTTAAAATAATATATATATATTCCTTATATTTTTGAATACCAATGGATTGTTTTTAAGTTGTAAAAAATCTCAAATGAATACCAGTGGATTTTAATGGACTCTTTAAAAAATCTTGAAAATCCAGATTGAATACCACTGGATTGTTTTTAAGTGACATAAAATCCTGATTGAATACCAATGGACTTTTTTACTCAAAAAAAGTCTTTTAAAATCCTACGAAATCCTAAACCAATACACCCCCCTAATTCAACATTACATCTTTTAAAATTATTCATAGAAGGAATATACCATATCATGCTTTGGTATTTCCACAGACTCTGCATGTTGATCTCGAAAAAATTAAAGACTCTGGCTTAAAATATATAAGATGCAGATAATTTATTATCATTGTTAATGGCTAGTTTTATTCAATCGTGGCCATTCTGCGCATTGGACTAACTAAAAGAGCGCATGTATTGACTTAGTCTTTCTTGCTTCGTAACTTACATTTTCATTTGACTTTTACCGATGTAGAGTTGATGTCGAATATCAGGACCCTTCAATTTCGAGTTTTTAATGAACCCAACAATTGATTCAATCATCCAAGGCAACACACATATCAGTAATCACCCTCTTGCAATTTTAGAGTAGTGAAATCTTCCTAGTACAAAATGTAACGCACACTTTGTCCATAGATTGAAGACCAAAAGCAAGAGTATGAATAACAGAGTGCATATAAAATGGAAGGAAAAAAAGAGTAGAGAGATGATTTTTGTAAGAGCTAGCATGGAAGGAGAGGGAAGTGAATGAGGCGATAATTGGACCAAAAGATAGAAAAAGAAGAGAGGGTATCCGATGTTTAACATAAACAAACAATAATTTTGAGCTTGACCATTCAAAATTGGAATTATGGAAATTTAAATATAAGGGACCCACCTTTGAAGAAACGGTATACCATGCCTCACAATCCACTCCACCTGACCAGGCTATATCTCTCGTTATAAACCATGAATGCCTAACTTTAGGATTTCGAGTAAAAAGCACATTAGCAATTGGTCCTGCCACAGAGTACAGTTATACTTTTCATCGATGTGATACATGGATTTGTGTCTCAGCCAACAAAATGGTCGTCAATTTAATTGGTCCATTCCATGATCTGCAACACATGGATTTTGGTTAATTACCATCAAATATGTTCCTTAATACTATTATATAATTGAGTAAACCATTAGTCTATATAAATTATCGCTCTCTTTTCTAAATACTC